ACAGAAATATGATGGCTGACACATTTAATTTTATTGTACAAAAGGCATTGTTAGACCCTGATTTGGAAAGCTTCTGCCCTGTTTTCATCTCAGAATCATGAAAATCTGCTAGTTCAGTCATCAGTGCCCTTAAAAATCTGTGATTATGTCTCACTTCATGTTGAATAAAACAGAGGCTGAATCCCCCCTTAACAAGAGTTAAAAAACTGTAAAGTTCATTAAATTAAGTATTATCTTTCAGTGACATAAATGCTTTATAATAAATATTTTATAAATATTTTTAAATAAATGTGATTCAACTTTAAAAAAAATAAATAAATAAAACAAATAATTAAAATTGAATTTTAAAGTAATAGTTATTGCTTAATTATTTTAAATAATAATTATTTTAATAAGTATTTAAGTAAATTAGATTTTTTTTTTCAACTAACAAATGTTGCTTAAATATTTTAAATAATAAATATTTTAATACGTATTTGTAAATTAATTTGATTCATTTATAATACATTTGTTTATATGTTTATAATACATACACAACACTGATTAATAAATGTTGCATTTTAAATAATTTTAATTGATAATTAAAAGAGTTTGTATAAATAAAATTTGCATTTAATTTTAATTCACATTTTAATGATTTTATTTTACTTTAAGTTATAAGTCGATCAATGCACTTAGGCAACTAATATTCCTCTGAGTCACAACACCTCATGTTCAACCCTGCTTAGACTGAAATCTTCAAATCACCCTGGGCATGAACTTTCCGAAATTTGATTTATTTGTATTGCTTTTTGCTGCTTTATTTCATTTCTTCATGTCACATGCTAATACTGCCACCTCAGTTATTTAAATTGCTTAAGTATTTTGCTTGCTTGCATCAGCCTGTGCTATGACACTGGGGATTGAATATCTATATTGATGTCTCGAATCCTCAGCTTAAAATTGGCAGTAATCAACCTGATTATAACAGCAATACAAACTAACAAAGTAAAAGTTAAATATTTCATCATTGCAGGCGGCACATTAATGCAACATTCTTGCCAGGGGCTCCATATTAAAATGTATGAGCGAAAGGGCAGCAGACTTAAAAATACACTGACATCATTAGAATCGTTGAGGATGCTCACAGTATGAATAAACATAATCCAGGAGGACTGTGGCAATGAGAGGTTGCACCAGAGCCCCAGGACACCAGGGAAATTATGTGACTTAAAGTACATGGACATGTGATTAATGTTCTCATAAAGTAGGGCAAATATCGTTGCCAAGAGAGCTCATTGGGATTGTAAAGCTGTTAGGGAGGCCAGAGAAGATAATGATGATAACTGTATAATAGCACACATTAAATAAGCTACGCTTTACCAGCTCTTCATATTTAGATGATATTATGATGAATCGATACCTGAGAGGTAGGGATAAAAAGGTCTTTGGTTTTCCCTCCACCCTTCTCATGGACTTCTACTACACCCACCATGCAATTTGTTGTTAACATGTGACAAATCAAAAGGTGATATGTCATGACAATAATCCATTACTAGCTTTTGGCACCAGAATGCTCCTAAGGGCCCGCTGACACGTCTGTCCATGACAGTGGCCTTAGTGTTTGGCAGACGCATGTTGACCTATGGGATGTGACAATGAGGTCACACTGGAGCAGCAGGACGAACGATTTTAATGATGATTACAGAAAAGAGAGATGAGCTGCCAAGCAGAGCACTGTATGCCAGGATGTGTCCCTTTACAAAAGACAAGAGTGGTACAAGAGCTTTCATCAAAAACATTTCTCATTCACAAAAGCCTGCTGGTTGGCTATGAAGAGCCTGACAGATGCTCTGAAGTGAGCATTTAGTCAGAGAGTGGGAAACAGTCTATATGCTGATTATTACGCTCTTTTTTTTCCAGACAAGATTGAGCATTTTCAGACAGTGCTACATAGATTGAGCATATTGCCAGAAGTCTTGTGGCAGTTCATACAGAAAGCATTTTTGCGTTTACAAATTGCGTGATGAAGTACAGATGCATTTAAAAGTTGGGCTTTTAAATTGACACTACGGTTAAATGCAGTGCTCAAGCATGAGCAAGACATGTTTGTGTAGAAAACAATTAAAGCAGTGGATCCTCTGCAGTGAATGGGTGCAGAGCTGATAACAACAATTACAAAATCCAAAAATAATCTACACGACTCAAGTCCATCAGCTAATGTTTTGTGAAGTGAAAAGCCACGTGTTTGTAAGCAACAATTAGGCATTATTGCATTATAACTTTAAACCATTGCTTCTGGCCAGAATACAAGTCCTTAATTCATAATAACGCTCCATCCATTTATTTTGGCCTTTCTTATCAAAATCCACTGACATTTGCTTATAATTGTTCTTATTGTCGCTTGTAATCGGTGTTTGATCTGTGTATATTTCTTTCCTGATTCAGACGAGACAATTTTTTCACTGGAGAAAGCAATATTATAAATAGAGGACTCTTAGTTTAGCCAGAATCAATGGTTTGAAGTTAAAAATGTCTTGATTTTGAATTTGTTATAACAAACACGTACCTTTTTTACTGCACAAGACAATTGATGGACTGGAGTCATCTGGATTAGTTATGGATTATTGTGATGTTTTTATCAGCTGTTTGGGCTCTCATTCTGAAGGCACCCATTCACTGCAGAGGATAGTGAGCAAGTGATGTAATGCTACATTTCAACAAATCTTTTCAGAAAAATAAACTTGATTGTCCTGAGGGTGAATACATTTTTAGTAAATTTTCATTTTTGGGAGAACTGTTCCTTTAAGAATTAGAGCAATGGAATTTTCTGAAAAAAAAAAAAAAAACCCTTCCATGTTTGGAACCCCATGAGGGAGTGGACAGAATTTTTAGTTTTGGGTGTACTATCCCTCAGCACGTCACAATGGGGTTGTGGTTTTCCTGGTTATTCCATGACCATGAATTCTAATTTGTATTAATGCAATATTTGTTTTACTATTCAGCAACAATTTAATCTCAGTTTGTGTCCACAGAAGAAATAAACTCATACTTGTAACCACATGATGGTGAGTATTTTTGAAATAATTTTTAGTTTTGGGTGGACTTTAATTCCTTGAAAATGACTTCTAATTTTCAGCTGTTCACTTTCTGATGTCCTTGGTGTCACTGATCTGTTGTACAACCAATTTCAGCCAAGCTTTAGATGTTGAACAGATGGCCTCAAATTTGTCCCTAGAATACTTTGGTATACAGAGGAGTTCATGATGGACTCAATGCCTGGAAGCTGTCCAGATCCTGTGGCTGCAAAACAAGCCTAAATCATCACCCTCCACCAACATAACTGATATCTTATCATAACTTTTGGTGCTTTTTGTGATACCTTTTGTTAGAGTTGTGTTGAAATTGGCATTGTGCATTATGCCCAAACACCTTCACTTTGGTCTCTCTTGTGCAAATGACATGACTATTTCCATGACTTTGTAATTTTAGATACAAACACATGGAAATAATATTCCATTTCTATCAGGAAATGGCCTCAAACACTGAACCCACACATTTCATTCACCAGCAATTTCATACACACAGCTGGACAGAAAGGAAAACATACACTGCGTGTCCTGTAAAGCAACATTTTGATAGAAGAGCATTACATGAAAATGAGAAAACAGTGCTAAACCAGATCACTATCGTCAAACCTCTAGTAAACACACAGCAATATTTAGGATTCCGCCTTTAAAATCGTCTCATGTTCTCTCTGTTCATTGTACAGTATTATCAGTATTGTCAGGCATTAACATCCTCATTTGTTTAATCAACACTAGAGAGCTGCATAATTTCATACAATTAAATGTCCACTCTGTTGCCCACTAAAATGTCTCAGAAATGGTCTCAAAGGGCAGCCCAGTGAGAAATGGATATATTTTCTTTCATGATTTTAATGACCACAGCGCCACTCTGTGGTAGCATCATCAATGTCATGCACAACTGTTTTAGTGCAGTGGACAAATTAAATAAAACAGTGGAATTTGAGAAAAGTAGCCCAAAGATTAAAACCAAAATCTAATATCACACGGACTACACAGACCACATTTACCTTTTGATATATATCTATATATATATATATATATATATATATATGCTAATGTTTTGTGAAGTGAAAAGTCATGTGTTTGCATATATATAAAACGTAATACATTCTCTTTTTATTTGCAACAATAGACACAAACCAAAAGATAACATTAGCATTAACAAATTTCAAAAGTAAAAATAAAATTAGAAACTGTACAGTTGATGGATAGACTTAACTTCCGACTGAACGAGCTTGAGCTGCTTAACTGTTCGATAATATATTATAATATTATATTCCATAATATATGCAGACCTGTGACCAGATTTCATCCTAAATCTGTGGTATAAATACCATTTTCTACTGGATGACACGTCACTGCTGCTGCACATAGTTTATCACAACCAGGCCTGCCTTTAGTTATCACAGATTATTTTATATAAAAGCTACTGTTATGCTACTGCTTTTACTGGTCAGATTTTTTACAAAAGTGTTGCACTAATGAAAAACAATGAGGCCGATACAGATCACTGATATTTTAGCACCAAGATCGGACCTATACCAATATCACTATTTATTTTTAAAGTGCCCCTAGCCACACATTGATACTGCAATAAAAAAAATAAAAAAAACCTTGTAAAATTTGGTGAAATACTAAGTTTGTGATGAATAGTTCTGTTGTTACTATCAGTAGCAAGTAGTTGGTCACTTTAAAGAAATGCTACGCACCTGCACATTCCTACAGCCTGAACGGTTTCTGAAAATTGAATTTTTAGTCTTAACACTGTACAACTACATGGATTGAAATCATTCAAACCACCGTTTTTTTTTTTTTTGTGCATTCCTTCCGCCCCCCCCACATGTTGGTCAACTATATTATGATGGATTGTATGGAGACTTTGCCATTTTTGGCAAATTTTTGGTTGGGGAAAAGACGCACTGAGAAAACAGCTTTGCTTAAAACATTTATTGGAGTTTCAATTCTGGAGGACATTTGCAGTAGATTACTGGAGTCTTTCAGCCCTTGTCTAAGTAGAAGCGGCTTGAGGAAGAGCTGCGGGATGGAGCGGGAGCATTCTGGTTGTTCATTAAACTGTAGCTACTCAAGACCTCAGAAGCTGAAGCACTGGATGTACCTTGCCCAGAAACACTTGGATCATAGGGCAAGATCTGGGACCCAGGGGTATGCTTTGTAGAAAGGCTTTGAGATTGGAAAGACCCACCGTAACTGGTGCTACCACCCGGTGCAGAAACAAACGGACCAGAAACTCTTGAAGATGAGCCTTCTGCAGATGACAGGGAATAGAACTGCATTGGAGAGCTTTGAGTTGAAGAGCTATCCTGTGACGCAGCAGCAGCAGCATCTGAGGTCCGAATACCTTGTGTCCAATGAGTAGCTAAAGGCTGCCATCTTTGAGACTTCTGGCTTTGGGACACAGAATAGCCTTGATACGATTGGCTGGACGGACTAGCAACACCTTGGGATGAGGACGATGACACACTTGCATATGGGGATGAAGACCCAGGGATAAACTGACTAGCAGCATCTTGAGGCCGAGATGATCCACCATAAGCAGTGCTTCCCAGCAGGGTGAAGCAAGTGGAGGACCCTGCCTGGGTGCCAGAGCTGCCTGTGAAGGTAGAGGTAAACTGCTTCCGAGAATCCTGAACAGTAGTAGATGGACCAGCTTGTGGGGAGGACAGCGATACACTTGCATAGGAGGATTTAGATCCAGGGGAAAACTGACTTGTGGCACCTTGAGGTGATCCACCATAAGCAGTGCCTCCCTGCAGGGTGAAGGGAGTGGAGGACCCTCCCTGGGTGCCAGAGCTGCCCATGTAGGTAGAAGCAAGCTGCTTCAGAGAAGCCTGAACAGTAGTAGATGGACCAGCTTGTGGGGAGGACAGTGATACACTTGCATAGGAGGATTTAGATCCAGGGGCAAACTGACTTGCAGTATCTTGAGACTGGACAGAACCACTGTAAAGGCTATTCATTATTTCTGGGGCAAAACCAGTAGAAGCTCCAACTTGAGCCCCAGAGTTGCCTCTAAATACAGAAGTAAACTGCTTCCGTGAACTCTGAACCGTACTAGGACCAGCAACAGCTTGCGGTGAGGATAGGGACACACTTGCATAGGGGGATTGAGGTCCAGGGGCAAACTGACTTGTGGAATCTTGAGGTGATCCACCATAAGCAGTGCTTCCCTGCAGAGTGAAGGGAGTAGAGGACCCTGCCTGGGTGCCAGAGCTGCCTGTGAAGGTAGAAGCAAGTTGCTTCAGAGAAGCCTGAACAGTAGTAGATGGACCAGCTTGGGGTGAGGACAGTGATACACTTGCATGGGGAGATTGAGGTTTAGGGGCAAATTGACTTGCAGGATCTTGAGACTTGACAGAACCACTGTAAAACCTACTCATCCCTTGTGAAACAAAACCTGTAGAGGCCCCAATCCTTCTCTGGGAGGCAGAGGTAAACTGCTTCTGTGAACTAGATTGACTGGCAACACCTTGGGGTGAAGGCAATTATAAACCTGGATATGACGTTGGAGACCCTGGGGCAAATTGGCTAGCAGTATCTTGAGGCTGGACAGAACCACTGTAACGGCTATTCACTCTTTCTGTGGCAAAACCAGTAGAAGCTCCAAATTGAGCCCCAGAGCTGCCTCTAAATCCAGAAGTAAACTGCTTCCGTGAACTCTGAACCATACTAGGACCAGCAACAGCTTGGGGTGAGGACAGGGATACACTTGCATAGGAGGACAGAGACCCAGGGGCAAATGTGCCAGCAGTATCTTGGAGCTGTGGTGATCCACCATAACTGGTGCTTCCCTGCAGAGTGAAGAGAGTAGATGACCCAGCCTGGGTGCCAGAGCTGCCTGTGAAGGTAGATGTAAACTGCTTCCGAGAACCCTGAACAGTAGTAGATGGACCAGCTTGGGGTGAAGACAGGGATACACTTGCATAGGAGGATTTAGATCCAGGGGAAAACTGACTTGTGGCACCTTGAGGTGATCCACCATAAGCAGTGACTCCCTGCAGGGTGAAGGGAGTGGAGGACCCTCCCTGGGTGCCAGAGCTGCCCGTGAAGGTAGAAGCAAGTTGCTTCTGAGAAACCTGAACCATAGTAGATGGACTGGCAACATCTTGGGATGGGGATGATACACTTGGATATGAGGGAGACACGGGGGAAAATTGACTTGCAGTACCTTGAGGCTGTGGTGACCCATCAAAAGCGATACTTCCTTGCAGGGTGAAGGTTTTAGAAGACCCCGACTGGGTGCCATAGCCAGAGGTGAACTGCTTACGTGAACTCTGAATCGTAGACTGACTATCTACACCTTGGGGTGACAGTGCACACTTGCAATATAAACCATCATATGAAGATGGAGAGCCAGGGGCAAACTGACCTGTGGTATCTTGTGACTGAACAGAACCACTGTAAGAGCTGCTCATTCCCTGTGAGGCAAAACCTGTAGAGGCCCCAAACTGAGCCCCTGAGCTGCCTTGGGAGGCAGAGGCATATTGCTTACGGGAACTCAATACACTGCCAGACTGACTGGAAGTCCTTTGGGGTGAGGAAATAAGCTTGGAGTAGCCAAGAGCAGATTGACTAGAGGTAGCTGGAGACTGTGGAAGCAACCCACTATAATAGTTCCCTCCCTGAGATGTAAACTGACCAGAAGCTCCCGTTTGAGACAGAGAACCAACTTGTGAAACTGTTTTATAGGAAGACCCGCTACTTGTGGTTTGGCTATAAATAGCTTGGTGTGAAGACATGCGAGCGCTTACATATTTGGTAGGGGATCCAGGAGCATACCGACCCAGAGTACCCGGAGGCTTGAGAGAAAAACTATTGGAGCTACTACCTCCCTGTACAGGGACATAACGACTAGAAGTTGCTAACAGAGTACCATACCTGGTCTGAGTGCTTGATGTAGACACACTAGGTGAACTTTGAGCACTTGTTGACTGGCTAGAAACCCTCAGGGGTAAAGCATCAAGCTTGTTAGACATCAGGGATCCTGCGGTATACAGACTAGAGGTAGTGGGAGACACCACTGTAACGGTTATTCCCGACTTGTGTGGGGATAGACTGGACAGAACTTGCAGACAATACAGCCCCAGAGCTGCCCTGAGAAGTGGCAGAGCCTTGAGCCTGGCTAGACCAGCTACTGTAAGGGACAGTGCCCCAAGTGTACGGAGATGCAGCAGCATCTTTTGACTTTGAATCAGAACTGCTCTGAGGGCTAACTACATGCAGACGAGGGGAGCTTTGACCACTAGTATACTGGCTAGAAACCACCAAGGCTAGAAGTTGACTGGATGTCTCTGGAAACTTGGAAGACAAGTCAGCAAGAGGACTAAGCCCGGCCAAGGAAGAACCAGAAGCTAAGCCAGAACTACCCTGAGAGCTGGAACTAAACCGACTGGGAGAACTCTGGTCCCCAGTGGACTGGCTGGAAATGGTTGAACCGAGTTTAGTATTGGAGTCTGGGGTATATCGACTAGAAGCACCTTGAGGTAAACTACTGTAGCTACTTTCCCCCTGAGAAAACACAGGTTGACCTGAACTTTCTGGAAGTACAAGGCTACCTTGAGAAGTAGAAGTGGCACCTGGAGCATATGAACTGCTGTAAGGGACACTCTCCTGAGAGAACATGGGCAAAGAGGCGTCTGCTGATTGATGAACAGATGTTGCCTGGGAGCTGGACACATGCAAATTATCACTGGTAGACGGGCCAGAAATGCCAAGCTCAGAGTAGCTATTACGCTCTCCTTGGTTAGAAACAAGGGATCCAGAACCACTCGCAGCATACTGGGTCTCCAAATTTGATCCACTAGCAACACCCAAAATGGTTGACCCAGAGGACATCAAACTGCTTGAAGGCTGTTGAACTGGGGGCAGAGGCAAGGAAGCAGATACAGAGCTGCCTGGAGCAGTTTGGGCAAGGGACGTTGACTGATAGCTGCTAGAACCACCTTTGACAAACTGGAGTACATTAAGCTTTGACCTGCTTTTCAGGGGTTTGTTAGGGAACAAACAGGAGCCCACTTCTTCAACAGGCAAAGTCACACGGGTCTCTGACATAGAAGACTGGACTGCATGAGGTGAAAGAGCATCAGAAGGCTGACCCCACAGATGATGGGCATTGGAATAAGCTCTACCTATGAAATTACACAACAAAAGACTTTACACAAGCACCACTAAACATGCATCATTGCAAGACAAAGGAAGAAAAAAAAAACACCTTTAACTCCATCAGCATTCTTCCAAAATAGCAAGAAAACTACAAGCAAAGATAACCTACAAATTAAAAAAAATATATATAATTAATAAAAGTTCACAAAATCATACACAAACACAGATCGAATCAATAAACTCACCTTTTCCACCCTTGACCCATGACAAAAATCCACAAGTACTCCAAAAAAAAAAAAAAATTCCTAGTACCCTTTGCACAAATTACATCAGTATATAAATTAATCAAGACCAAACCGTCAAGAATTATATTTGATTACTGTCAGCATGATCATTAATTTATATCACATCAAGTTTTATTTCATTAAGCGAGTGTTCACATACATATTTCAATATAGCGTTCATGCATTAGGACAACAATCACTTCATTATGAATTCACTTGATATCACACACTTTAACAGTACATACAGTGGGTACGGAAAGTATTCAGACCCCCTTCAATTTTTCACTCTTTGTTATACTGCAGCCATTTGCTAAAATCATTTAAGTTAAGAATCTACAAATCCAAGCATACATGCAACTGGAGGTACGTGTATTTTATAAGCCTTCACCAGTCCAATTAGAGCAAATGACTAATTACATGAAACATTGTTCACTTGGGAAACTGGTCGTTAAAAGATAATTGATACTTGTTTTGTGAAGGCTCTGATAACCTCTGCAGTTTAAACATTCTAAAGCAGCTAATTAATCCCAGAACATTACTTTCACTATGTAACATCTACATAAGATACCCCCATCCATACACCTTATACAAAATATACCACATTATATATATATATATATATATATATATATATATATATTTTTTTTTGGATATGT